TTTATTAACGCGGTAATACATATCTTATCATCTTCCTGCTTATATATATCTAGCACTAGTATCTTCTCAAATAAAAAAAAAAAAAAAACTAAGACAGCATCAGAGACTTCATCTTCTGCCAGTTTCTTCAACATCTTTCCAGTTGTATTAATTTCAGGTTATCTTTCTGTAGCCATTTATTTCAAGTTCCTCTAAATTTATCAAAACATTTAATAACACTTAAAACAATTGTATTTATATTTATTATCTCTGTCTTATTTTTTATTAGTTGCTATCACACACAAGCAATGACAAATGAATACAGTCTCATAATAGATATCTCTCCTGGTCAAAGAAATTGGACAGCAAAAGCATTTGTTGCTGAAAAGAGACCAGCAGGGATAGCTCAACATAGCCTCTCAAAATACCAGAACTTCATACTTATGGATGAAAATGTATAACTTAGTTAATATAGACTTCATTTGCTTTCCTGTTATGCCATTTTAGTGTATAGATATTTTTTTCGCCATGTATTCACATCATCTTTTCTGGTGTAATCTTTAATACACTTTAGATAGTCGTCTAACTGACCACAATTGTATTTCAAATTTCAACAGGGAAATAGAGTTCATGTCACAATTTGGGACAATAATATTTCAGCTTTTGAAAATGAACCAACCCTTGGAAAACATACTTGATCTCAAATGCATATGTAAGACATCCAAAAAGTGATTATAAATTGTATACTGGAAATGTATAGTGGACTATTTCTGAAACAACTAGAATTGAGGAAATACAAGAAAACAATGATGCACTACTGTTTTCAACATTCCACATCACTCCATTTGAAAACTTTGAAAAATATATGGACACAGATACCGACATAGGTATCATCATTATTTGTTTGACATTTTTTTCTTCTATTTTCTTATTTTTTTCATCACTGTTTCATACTAACATATTATTCTATTGTAGCGGGACTTGCAATTTCTATTGACATACGACCCAAGAGGCTTATACATACACAAGCTTTCAAGACGTTGTTCTTATGGACAAAAGGTTGATGTTTATTTTGTTATACGTTAAATCTAGCCTATTTAGGATATGATTCATTTTTTAAAGTAAATGCCAAGTTTGAAACAGTAGTTCTAACAATGTGGGAGGCTTTCGTGGAGAAAGAATGCATTCTTATTGCAAACAACATAGCTAAAAAATCAGTCCTTATTGGAAATCATTTGAAAGTTTCATCTTTCAACGGTTTGTTTGCTGAACCTTTTCCTAAATATATATTTGGATATAGCAGCCTACTTGGTTCTTACAGAAATTTTTTTATGTTTGCAGATAGTTGCATGTATATATAAAATAACTTAAAAAATCATTTATACTTTCCTTCATCTATGTAGGCCTGTCTCTATCTACAAAGACCAATAGTTGCTTCTTTATTTACTATCCATTTGATGAAGTTGTAGAGTTCAAGTCATGGTAATACCTATCTTCTATTACACTTTACCACTTGAAATTACTTCAGTACATGAATTAAACTCTCCTGAATTGTCCCTTTCTTGATCCAACATTGCACTTTAACATAGATTTGAATAACTGTTAATATGCTTTTCTCAAACCTCTTGTAGCATTCCAGTTTACTTTGATCCATTAGAAAAATAAGCTGCCTTCTACTAAACTTATAACTTTTTTACTATCATTCACTGTACAACATATGCTCACCTGATTATGACTATATCTTTCAATACATGTAGACTGCTGATTATAAGTTCTTTAGGTTTTCAAATTAAGCATTCCATAATTAGCCTACTTTCCACTCCATAATTACTGAACATGGTAAATTTTTTTACTCATTTCTTTCAGAATTAACTGTTTTCATTGGATGTTTTCAAGTACTGATATTCCAGTTTCTTACATGTTTAAATTTAGCCTTCCAATGTAATAGAATTTAGCTTCTTACATAATATTTTTTTTAGAGAACTAACTTTGTATTTAAACCAATGATATAATCTGCAGGGATTGCTGAAAACTTGGACGAATTGAATGAAATCACATTGATGAAACCATATCTCGCACTTCCACCATCAAAGTTATCATATCCGTCTGAGGATAAGTACACTGATATTAGAGATATCCAAGCTCCGTTAATTCTGGTAAATCATTTCAGGCTTCGTTTGAATTAGTTTTCCTATAAATTTACAGTCAATTTATTTAGTTTATATTATATATCTACAACACTTGTACATTATTTAATCTGGACTGCTTCATTTACAGCAAAAATATTTCTGGGTAAAAGCAACAACAAATATTGAAATGAAAAAAAACCTCTTTTTGGTACCTATCCTGTAATAATTGCAACAGAGTTTCAAATGCTACTAAGGCCGGTGAGACATACTACTGCAGGTTCTGTAAGTGTCAAAGTTCGATGGCAGTGCCAAGGTAAAAAAAAAAGTCAATGTAAAATTCACACACCTAGCACATTAGTTTCATAGTGATAGGATCTTTAGTTCTCCAACCAATTTACAACTCGTTCATTACACTAATAGTGCTATCTCATAATTCTTCTAGGGCACGAGTAGATGTTCGACTACATGATTCAACTGGATCTCTTAGTGCATCAGCTATGGGTGAAACAGCTGAAAATATTTTCCAATGTCGTGCTGAGGTTTTAATGGACAAAATAGCATTTGTAAGAGTCACTAACCTTTTTTTTTAATCACTACAAAATTTACTTTAATCAATACTCACACATCTCTAATATCTCCAGGAAACTGCACCAAATCTTAGTGAGATTGTTCGTGCAAAAATTGATAAAGACCATGCATTCTATGTGAAGGCAATACTGTTGCAACCAAATCCTACTGAATTCAGCGCTGTCGTACATAAACAATCAAGCTCAACAGACCATAAGTATGAAATCATCTTCACGCTTGACTCAACTACAAAAGAACCAGCTATTGAAGACTTAGACAGCAGAAAAAATACAGGTCCAGTAATCGAAATCGAGGATGGAGATTCGACATCACTTCTTGCAACCTCATCTCCTCGTGTGAAGAGGTCACTTTTCCATAAATCTGATAACCCAAGTCCTGCCAGCAAGAAAGTCGACAAACACATCAGCAATGAAGACAAGCAGTCATCCATCAAAAAAATGCAATAGGGCATTTCGTTGTTCTTTTGTTTGAAATTATCTTTTGTCCAATGAAATGGTTAATTACATGAGATAATTTTGTACCAAAGAACCACAACTGGTCACAGTAGTAGTTTTTTTAAGGGTGTCGTAGATGTGAATTTGTAGCCTTTTTTTGCTCCTGCACATTGACCAAAAGGCTGTAATATTCTCAAAATCTCATATGTTCATCCATCACTAACTTAAATGTGGAGGTTTCACTTAATGGAAATATTACTGCTGCTGTGTTATTTTTTGTATCCATGATCATTGTATTTTGGTTTTTATCAATTGTTGCTTACATATATTACTCTTCTTATAGTATCTAATCAACCATGTTGTGCAGCCATGTAATTTACAATTCATTCTTATTGGTATCTCTGTTTATTAACTTATCAATATGTTATTTATGACCAAATAAGCTCTTAAAGGAAATATGTTAATGATTAGAAATCCAGGAATGTTTTCTCATTGTACTTGCATCTGCAACATGAATTAATATGGAGTCCCATGCAAGCAACATGAGTTAATATGAAGTCCCATGCAAGTGTAAGTAATCGCAGAGCTACACATGTTGTCCTTATCCTATTGAAATGAAAGCTAATTCATGAAATTTTATCCATACCATTACAGTATGTCAAATTCCATTGCCATAGATTTCTTCCCACTACTTTATAAATATGTGATACTATTTAATTTAACTTGTATGTATCATAAAACCAAGTACATGGTAACAATTTATCAATACGGTCTGTTCATACTAATCTAGACTCAAATAAAAACGCAAAGCACATGCATCTACTAGTATTTTATAAATAAGAATGTGATAAAGAAAAATTAATGATATAAATGTGATAATAAATAAAGATTGATGATCTTTAGAACCTGTCTGGCAGAAATTTTAATCAGATTTTTAGCAAAAATCTGACTGTTGGAGCCGCAATAATTGACTGCATTTTCAAAATTTTGTTTGGTTTGGTCAAAATCCTTCCTGTATAACGGTAAGATTTTTACTCAAAATTTGTGAAAAATTTATCCCAGACAAGTTCTTAGCAAAGTTTGTGGAAAAGGTTAAATTACACAAATAGTCCCAAACTTTTGACTGTATTAAAATGTGTTGTATTTAATTTAACCAAGAGGTAGTGTGATTATAATGACCCATTTTTAAATTGAATATGTCTGGGACTCTGGCCTTGTTAATAGATATTAAGTGGGAGTTTGGCCCCCATTTTAGAGTGTTGAAATTTTTTAAAATAATGATTGATGGGAGAATGTGTGGTAGAAAAGTAATAAAAAGTTTTAAATTTGTGTGTAATATTATTTTATTTAATGAATGTGTGATTGAAATGAAGAGAGAAAAAAATTAATGTAATGTAATAGAAAAAAAGGGGGCCAAACAGGGGCTAAGCCATTGTTTGAGCTTTATTTTTTTATAATTGAATATTATTTTGACTCAATTTTAAGCACATATTCTTAAATAAATTAATATTAAACGTAAATTCAATTTTATTTTTTATTCTTTAACCACATTTTTTCTCTTAATGCGCTATTCAAAAATGTATTTTTTTTTTTGACAAAAATGGGGCTCAAACAATTAAGTTTGTCAAAGAAAAATGGTAGGGAAATGTTACTAATACGGTCAAAAGATGGGGACTGTTTGTGTAATTTAGCCTTTTCCACAATTTGCAACCGTTGAGGAAACTTTGCCCTTCTCTCAAGATATCCTCATTCAGCCATCACAACACATCTACTTCCCTCTTCCTCTCTCAGATCCAAACCCTAATTTCTTTAAAAATTCAAATCTCGTTTTCACTAATTGACAAATTTAAATATAATTTCTGAAGCTGAGATGGCGGCAGCCGCGACGATGGTGAGCTCGGCGGGAGGTTTATTGGCGATGCTGAACGAGACTCACCCGGCTCTTAAGTTACACGCGCTTTCAAATCTCAACGCCTTTGTTGATTACTTCTGGCCCGAGATTTCCACCTCCGTACCCATAATGTACTTGATTGTTCTTCTCTCTTTATACGTACGTGTATGTATGTAGGGGCAGTAGGGTTTCGGAGTGTGAATGCTATTTTCTTTTTACTTGGGAACTCGGGCATTTCTGCTTTTGTGCTTTGGTGAAAGATGATAATTTGTAATAAAACTTATATGAATCTGAAAAAGGAAGTCTTATTTGGGAGTTAAACTTGGTTTCTTAATAAGATTGATGTGAGAATTAGATGAAGTACAGTTTTGGGGATTGCGTGTTAATAAGGTTTGGGGTTGAATTTTTTTTTTGCTGGGATTAATATGGTGTTTAAGACTAAGGTGATATTTTGATTGGTTCTGATGTTGGAATTATTGGATATTGGTGGAAATTTAATGGGTTCTTCTGAAGGATGATACTGGGGAAACTTTATTGAGGATAGTAGAATTGTGAATTTTTGGTATAGAAAATGTGGGATTAAAGATTTAACATAATGTTTGGGAGATGGAGGGGTTTAACTTAAGGATAATTATATTCAGACTACAATTTTTTATTTCTGAAGGTTCTCAATCTTTACTCATTATAGCATGTATGTCCCTGACGATTTTCATGGCATTCTTATTTTCAAACTTTCCATTAGTTAATACATTTTGTATTTAAGAACAGTTTATGTCCAAAAACATATGTTAAAATAGCGTATAACAACTTATTTTTTCGTCATATATTTTTAAAAATATAAATAAAAGGTAAGAAACAAATTTTTTCCCTTGTTTCAAAGCATGGAAACAAAATATTTTAACACAAATCATTGTCAAGGACGAGATATACTAATTAATGGATGGTTGAAGATAAGAATTTGACGAGAAAAATTAAGGAAATAATTGCTACAATGAACAAATATTGAGGAGTTTAATTGCAATTAAAATGTGGTGTAACAAATAAAAATTGTGGTGGCAATATAACTGCCCTTGACTTAATAGGGTTTATTAGTCTGAACCAACTGTTTTTATTTGGCTAATATGCTTTGAGAGAGATCTGAAATATGAAATATTGTTTCTCTATTATAAATTCATGATTTGGCTTTGAGTTTTGTGTTTTAATTAATGATCCGGTTTTATATTATTTTTTTCTTTAGAACGTCATCCAATTTTTATAGTTAATGAATATACATAGAACTATACAACACCTGTTAATTCAATGGAAAAATGCCTCAACTGGCATCTAATTAAAGCCTAAGAGCAATGAGTTGTTTGGGTAAAGGGAAGGGTAATTGTTTCAGTATTGAGATGCCTTTTTGGAAGAGTCAAAGCAACTAAACTTGCAAAAGGGGGATGCCTAATTGAAAATGTATTAGGATTCATGCCATGATTTTTGATGAAGTTTTCCACATTGGGTCTCATGATGTATGCATCATTAGTGCTTAGAAAGGCTAAACCGTATCTTGAGGCGCTTTAAGGCGTTAGCCTCAACATAAACCAATAAAATAATTGAAACAATTGAAAGAATACTAAATTATCATAATAAACCTCAAAATATTTAAAGATCCATAATACATCATTTCAGTATAAGTAAAAGTCTAATTTACAACTAGAAATTTGAAATGGATTCTTAAAGTAGCAAATTTTGAAGTAGGAATCACTTAAAAAGATCACTAATCCTTGATTAGAACTAAGAGTCTATAATGAATGATACAATTGACCAACTTTTTACAAATTTGTGTACTTTACTTTTAAGAAAAAAGAACAATGAAATGATTTAGAAAGCAACAAGAGAAAATAAGAAAGAAGAAAACGGTGAAGTTATGTGGCTCAGGCCTTTATAAGCATGTTTACTGCCGAAAAAATACTTGTGTTTTTTGTCGAGTGGGATTGGACAATGGTTTGAGTGATGTCAGGAAAACTTCTTTTTCTGAATCTTGATTTGTGCAGAAATTCTGAAACTATGGCCCTTGTCCAACTTGAGAGACCTGAGTTGCTATTGATATCATAAAATTTAGCCCAAGTTTGGTAACCATTCTATCAAAACTCTTTTTTTCTCATACTCATTTTTAACCACACCTCACAGTAAAATATTCTTCATGTAAACCTAAACTATCACACATTCTTCAAAAACTCATTCTTTCCAAAAAAAATAAAAATAAAAATCTGTCAAATGGGCTTACTCTGCTCAGTTAGGTTGAAAAACATAAGAAACAACTCCTTGCTTCTGCAATTTCTCGGTATATACAAGCATGTCTAGTTCAGATGTATAAAATGAAGGACCTGTTTTAAACTTTTTACTATTATTAGACGATGTCTGTAAATCTCATAATTATATTAAGTAAATATTTATAGTGACCATGAGAGTATCTCTTGAAGCAGAGTTGCTGGTAAGCTTGTTGCTTTATAGGTCTTTTAAGTTTCATGCAAGTGGTTGCATTTGTGTCTGTATCAGGAAACCTGGCGTCTGTTAGATATTAAATTACTATCCTTCCATTCTGTACAATAATGCTTGTGTACTTCTGTTACTTTATTTTGTGGTTATACAGAGAAAGTTTATATGAAGATGAAGAGTTTGACCAAAGACAACTGGCAGCATTACTTGTTTCGAAGGTAACAACATGCTTCATTCATCTGTGACAATATTTATATATCCACTTTTGAAAAGTTTAAGATTTGAAGTGCCCATATTTTCGGTGTAAAGACCTTATGAGAAGCATCTCTATACTTGAGTTTGTCAATCTAGAATTTGTGGAATCATTGAATTAAAAGGATTCTCTATTTGTTACATGACAGTTTTCGAAGGTAACAATATACATCATCTGTGATGATGTTTGTATATCCACTTTTTAGTAAGTCTGAAATTTGAAGTGCCCATATTTTTTGTGTAAAGACCTTTTGAGAAGCTTCTGCATACTTAGGTTTTGTTTGAGCTCCATTTTTTGTAAAAAATATATGTTCTGTAATAGTACTTGTTGGAGAATGTGTAATTAAAAAGTAGGTAAAAGTTTTGGATTTGCGTGTAAAATTATTTAATTGGAAGAATTTGTAGTTGAAAATGAGTTTTTAGATAATGGGGCTCAACCAGGGGCTTAAGTTTATCAATCTAAAATTCATGGAATCATTGAATAAAATGGTTTCTCAATATATTACATGAGTGTATTCTTAATGTTTGCAGTAATGTGATGGTTGTATTTATCTTCCAATTTCCTAAAATTTGGAAACTGAAATAATGCAAAGATTTCCCATGTAGCACCTGTAGCAGCCATTCATCTTATCCATAGTATAGTCTCTAATTCAAAAGATTTATCTTGTTAGAAAGTATGATATAGATCTTATCTGAATGGATAGCCCATATGATGGGTACCTCCTGATTCCAGAATCCCAAGAAGTCACTAGCTCACGCAAGTTAATGTATCTCATAAAAGTATGAATATTATAGTTCATGATAATGCAATATGAAGGACGAAATGGTTAAATTATGTACATGCTTGTGATTCCCCAATGTTATGATCATTTCAGCAAAATTCTGGTATTACGTAGTACATTTAACTGAGGTGTGAGCAATGCTGCTATCATCTGTTCTGAGCTTATCATCTTATAGATATATGCCTCTACGCACATATTTTGCAATGGAAGTGATGAATCTGTTAGGTTAAAGAACAAAAGTACCATAATTATGAAATATCTTTGTCGTAAACTGGAAGTCGTCCAAAGCGAATAATTGTGAGGGTTCTTCTGTTGAGTGGATTAGATATTGAGACGAGGGTTTACATATAGATCTTGATCTCTAGATCACAATCCTCTTAATGTTTTTAGACAAACATTATCATCTGTGACTTGTATATAATAGCGTATTGGTTGCTGGGAGGGGGGGGGGGGGGGGGGGGGGGGGGGGGGGNGGGGGGGGGGGGGGGGTGAGGGGATTCATAGATGTGAGTATTGTATTACACATTTGAAAGTGCTAGATTAAACTAGAAAAATGTGCTACATTTGCAAATCATCTATTAATGGAGCCTAAAATCTTGTGTTTTACTAGGGCTATTTCTAAATTTCAGTTCTTGTTTCTGGAGTATGGCACTTTGTGTAACCTCTATGAGTGGTATTAAAACGAGATAGATGCCTTTTTAGGTTTTGTGGTTAACAATTGCTTATTCAACAAAATTCAATTAATTGTACTAGCATAGCTAAATTTTCTTTTAGAAGGGAGTGAGATGAATGTAGGTTAGTTAACACACACTCACTTATTGGTGAGTACTGGGTCCAAGCTATGCTATCCTATGATGCACTGATACGAATACGTGCGTCCGACGTGATATGTGCCGAATACGCCGACATGCTATTTTTCAAAAAAAATCCGACGCGCTAATTTTCAAAAAAAAAAAAAAAAAAAAAAAAATGACACAACACGTCTCCAACACGTTGATTAAATTTTTTAAAATTCTTCATTTATATAGCATAAATTTAGTTTTATACTTGTTATTAATTTTTCTTGTTGAAAACTTTTAAATATGAGTGGCTATTTGTTATTTACTAATAATTTTGAGTTAAAAGAATAAAATATTTTTAATAAAAAATAAAAAATGCTTATGGTAGTGTCCGAGGAGTGTCAATATTAACACGTGTCAAAGTAGCTATTTGTTATTTACTAATAAATTTGAGTTAAAAGTATAAAATATTTTTAATAAAAAATGAAAAATGCTTATGGTAGAGTGTTCGAGGAGTGTCAGTATCGACACGTGTCTGACACGTGCTGTCGAACATGGACACGCTAAACTAGTTGAAGTGTCCGTGCTATAGAGATGCTATCCATCGAAGCAACGTAGTTGCACAAAGATAAATTGGGGCATTTATTGTCCTCCCATATGTCATCAAGTATCGTGTGCTGGACTGGAAATAACATGAAGACAGTCTATTAAGGTTGAGAACTGAACTAGTAAGCTGAGGTCAAATTAACTCCGCTTCTTCTGTTTTGACTCTCTTGTATCTGTTTGTGCTTAAACGTAAATGTAACTTCTTTAAATTTTAGCTTGATTAATGATATTTGAAATGCTGCAAATATAAAATTTACTATGTCTGGAAAGTGTTTATATACATGTTTCGTGGGACCCACAAGTACTACCCACTTAACCACCACTCATTTCTATTTATTCATAAACACACCTGTTTATAAACACTTGCCAAACATGTGCATAGTCTTGTTTCCTGTCCAACTTATATCCAACTAGAATTTTAATAAAAACCAGGAATTAATTATTTTTCTGTTGAATGCATCTTTTGTTCATTTTTAACAGATCACCTCGTTTCTGTCATCAGGTTTTTTATTATCTGGGTGAACTTAATGACTCCTTATCCTATGCCCTTGGAGCTGGCCCTCTATTTGATGTTTCAGAGGATTCAGACTATGTAAATACCCTACTTGGTAAAAGTTTAATCATCATGCCTTTTTTCTCCAAAGAACTGTGTAAATATGTTTATTTCTAGAGAAAGAACAATGTCTCTGGTTCCACACATTTCAGAATTAGGCGGATGTTATAAAAAATTAATATGCTCTCTTGATAGATGACTTGTGAGAATGCAGTCTTACCAGACGCTTTTTTGTCTCCTTTCATGCTAATAGTAATTTATCATGTCTTGCTTCTCTCAGCTAAAGCAATAGATGAATATGCCAATTTCAAGATTAAGGCTGCTGAAGGGAATGACGAATCTGTGGTGGTGGATCCTAGATTAGAGGCAATTGTTGAGAGAATGCTTGATAAGTACGGGAACTTGTAGTTTTCTTGATACCAAAAGTAGCTGTATCCTGTATGTTTTTCTTCTGACTTAGGTGACTTCCGTTTGTTTTTAGATGTATATTAGATGGAAAATATCAACAAGCTATTGGAATGGCCATTGAATGCCGAAGACTGGATAAGCTCGAGGAAGCAATTATAAAGAGTGACAATGTTCATTCAATTATTAATTATTGCATTGATATCTGTCACTCGTTTGTTAATCGAAGAGAATATCGACGTGAGGTAATGTCATATAGTTAATACCATATTCATATTTGTCTACTCTTATCCCTTTATTAGTATATTTTTCTAGTTTTATTATAGTTTTCCAGAATCTCCTGTCTTGTGGGATTCAAACCTTTCATTTTGTTCTTGAAATGACACAAAAAGATCTTTGAAAGTGTGCAAAGAAGACGAGAAATTGAAGTTGAAGGGAATTGAAACTAATCCATTCTTCTCTTACTGGCTGGGCATTTACGTGCTGTTTAAGATGAATATGTACTAGAATAGATAGGTAGTGAGGTTTAAGTGTGTGCTGTATGTGCATGTGATTGACTGCAATAAATAATATGCACAAAAATCAAAGCTGTGCATTTTACTCTACTCATATCTGCTAGATCATGGAAATGTACTAGCATGACATACAGATAAAGTGGAGCAGTTAAACGGGTGGGACCAAAGAATTTATATACGTCCACAGAATCGCTTCGACAGCTGGACTATGATATTTCTGGCTTCTAGAACTAGCTCTACCAGAAACTTGAGCTATGTGAGAAGAGGAAGTGCTTTACTAAATTAGGTGCTTTGGGCTTTGTTTGTCCAACAAAATTGGGATTTCTTGACTGGTTACCATGTTGATTTTCCAATCGACATGGAAACACAAAAGACTTTTTTTTTTGTACGTATATGCATAAGCACCATTATATGTGCTTATACCCTTGTTTCACAGCTCTATAATGGGTCTTTTGATTTTCAACTGTTGCTCGATGAAGAAAAGATTTATGTAATTGTTTATGCTTAAATAACAATCACTGTATCATTTCTCGTTGCTTTATTTTGAATCTTCTTGATCTTTTTTACCTGATGCTTAAGGAAAATGCTTGAGGAATTTTGGACTCTCTTTGATAGCAAACTAGGTTTCTTTGAATACATCGCATGCTGATTATATACTGCTCATACAGGTGCTTCGTCTTCTTGTCGAAGTATACCAGCAATTGCCTTCGCCGGATTATTTAAGCGTTTGCCAACGCCTCATGTTTCTGGATGAATCGGATGGTGTTGCAAGTATATTGGAAAAATTACTACGATCAGATAATAAGGACGATGCTCTGCTTGCATTTCAGATAGCCTTTGATCTTGTGGAGAATGAGCACCAAGCTTTCCTTTTGACAGTGAGAGATAGGTTGTCGAGTCCCAAATTACAACCTTCAGAGTCTGTGCAGTCAGGTTCTTCAGAACCAGATTCTGTGCGAGATGGAAATGCCACTTCAACAGAAGATGTTCAAATGATGGATGGAACTCAAGTAGATAATAGTGTGCCGCATACTGATCCAAACGATGCAATTTATGCTGAGAGGTTAACAAAAATCAAAGGAATTTTGTCAGGAGAGACGTCTATACAGTTGGCTCTGCAATTTTTATACAGTCATAACAAGTGAGACAATTCTATCAGTTTGTGCTTTCATTGATGGGTTTTCTCAAAGTCCTTCAGTATGTCTGTACAAGCTACTGATTAAAAATTGTTAAAAGTTTTATTACTGATTTGCATGCAGGTCAGATCTTCTTACACTGAAGACAATAAAACAGTCTGTTGAGATGAGAAACAGTGTCTGCCATAGTGCTACTATATATGCTAATGCAATTATGCATGCTGGAACAACTGTGGATACATTCCTCAGGGAGAATCTGGTCAATCATTTTTCCAATATGTATTGATTTATTTTATTTTATGTATTGTTGATTAACATTCCCGACTTTATTATGTGCGTGAATGTAGGACTGGCTGAGCAGGGCAACAAATTGGGCTAAATTCAGCGCAACAGCAGGACTGGGTGTTATACACAGTGGCCATCTGCAGCAAGGAAGATCGTTGATGGCACCTTACTTGCCGCAGGGTGGGGCAGGTGGTGGTGGCAGTCCATACTCAGAAGGTGGAGCACTGTATGCTCTGGGTTTAATTCACGCAAACCATGGGGAGGGCATCAAACAATTTCTTCGAGATAGCCTAAAAAGTACCAATGTTGAGGTATATATTTGCCTTCTTTCATTTACCATACCTTCCTATGCACACATTGTGTTTTTTCATTTACCAGCTAGCTTACTATTGGAAATTTTATTTGGTGCAGGTTATTCAGCATGGGGCATGCCTAGGTCTTGGTTTGGCAGCTTTAGGCACTGCTGACAATGATGTCTTTGATGACATAAAAAATGTGCTGTACACGGACAGTGCTGTTGCTGGTGAAGCTGCTGGTATTAGTATGGGTTTACTAATGGTTGGAACTGCAAGTGAGAAGGCTGGGGAAATGCTTGCTTATGCACACGAGACACAACATGAAAAGATTATCAGGTATAGTTGGTTCATATTGCCCTGGTCTGGGACTATGATTTCTCTCTCATCGTTTTTCCTCTGTTTTATTTGCGTGTTTCAGGGGTTTGGCACTGGGAATAGCACTTACAGTCTATGGAAGAGAGGAAGAAGCTGATACACTGATTGAGCAAATGACTCGGGATCAAGACCCTATATTGCGCTATGGTGGCATGTATGCATTGGCGTTGGCATACAGGGGAACTGCTAACAATAAGGCCATCCGCCAATTGTTACATTTTGCAGTGTCAGATGTGAGTGATGATGTCAGGCGGACTGCTGTCCTGGCTCTTGGGTTTGTCTTGTACTCTGATCCAGAACAGGTTGGTGCCTTTTTTATGTTTATTTTGAAGTGTTGCTATTGCTGTTCTTACTACTGTTTTTAAGTCTCAACTGTTTGCTTGGAAGGAGCTGGTTTCGGAACTTGTCATTATCTCTTCAAAACAATAACATCTGTGTTGCTTCTAACCCGTGTTCATACTGATAATCATTTTGAATTTTCTAAATGCAGACTCCTCGGATTGTTTCCCTGTTATCTGAATCTTACAACCCACATGTTCGGTATGGTGCAGCATTGGCAGTTGGAATTTCATGTGCAGGTACTGGTCTCAGCGAGGCCATATCATTGCTAGAGCCTCTGACATCAGATGTCGTTGACTTTGTTCGTCAAGGTGCTCTCATTGCAATGGCCATGGTGATGGTCCAAATCAGTGAGGCCAGTGATTCGCGTGTTGGTGTATTCAGGTATTGTATCTTTATTCGTATTTTTCACCTTGCTTAGTATGTCATCTTTTTTAATCTTATCTCGTTTTCTTACCTTAGACGACAATTGGAAAAAATTATTCTTGATAAGCATGAAGACACCATGAGCAAGATGGGTGCTATTTTAGCTTCTGGCATTCTTGATGCTGGTGGAAGGAATGTGACCATAAAGTTACTGTCTAAGACAAAACATGACAAAATTACTGCTGTTGTTGGTCTTGCTGTGTTCAGCCAGTTTTGGTACTGGTACCCGCTTATATATTTTATTAGCTTGGCATTTTCACCCACTGCTTTTATTGGTCTGAACTATGACCTTAAAGTGCCAAGATTTGAGTTCCTATCACATGCAAAGCCATCACTGTTTGAGTATCCCAAGCCAACTACTGTACCCACCACCACTTCAGCTGTCAAGCTTCCTACAGCTGTTTTATCAACATCAGCAAGAGCCAAGGCTAGGGCTAGTAAGAAAGAGGCGGAAAAGGCCAATGCAGAAAAGCCATCTGGAGCGGAGTCGAGTTCCACCGGAAAGGGAAAATCAAGTGATAAGGATGGGGATTCCATGCAGGTTTGTGCTTTAATAATCTATATCCTTAATTCTTTTGCTTATCATTTCCTTTTTACACGTGTTTTGGGTGTTCTGTTTGCATTACATGATGCATAAGCCGACATCTCCTTCGTACGCAGGCTGGGTGGGTGAGTGGGTTTTAGAAACGTCTTTGATCTCGTAATTTTAAAAATGTGACAGTGATGGTCGATATGCAGTTCATAGCTGTTTGGAAAATAAAGATACCCTTTTTACTTGGGCTATGGTAAACACATCAAGATGACATCCCTTTGTGCATGTTGTATGTCAACAGTATAGTTTGAGTACGTGAAACTTGGTGTAGGTTAATTTGTCGATTAGAATTTTGGAGGTGTGCTTCCGAATCTAAATGTTTTAGTTAAGATGAACTAAGACGGAGTACATGGAAGTTGGAATGTTCATTTTGTAATTAGTTGGTACAAGGATAATAGTGGAGTCAATATAGTGGATCTTGCTGTTTCAGAGAGAGATGGTTTTGGGTATGTTGGTTTGACTATCAACATGAAAGGACCTGTAGAGGTTATGATGTATGGAGATGTGCTGCATGAATTTTTATTTGATTGGAAGATTTCCATTAGGCTGATGAGGTCAATCCACGAAATAATTATTAGGTCCCTGTTTGGTACACATTAAAATTTTATTTCTCATTCTTCTACTCATTTTCAATCACACATTCTTCAGTAAAATAATATTTTCCATCACATCAGTAACTTTTCCTTCTTTTTCAATCAGAAATTCTCCATCAACCTACTATTTCAAAATACATTATTTCAAAATAATGTGGCTCAAAAACATACCCTAGATGTGCTATGCTTTATGGTACTACAAATGTTGGGTTATTGGAGGACATGTCCTCGAGATAACCCAGCTAAAATGAGGATGTTAAGATGGTTGTGTGGCAATGATAGGATGAATTAGAAAAGAAATGAGAATATACAAGTGGAATGGTACTAAGGTAGGGTAATTTAAGGGAAGGATTACACATTATTAGTGCATGTGTTGCAAACCTAAAGAAGCTCGTATGCACAAGATTGATGTGGTGTTAGTAGAACATGAAGAGGGAGAGGTAGATTAAAATTATTTTGACTTGTAGTTGCGAACAATCTAGTTGTATTGGATCCTCTAGTTAATATACAATGGACCCAACTTAATGGCCAAAAAAAATAATGTAGCCGACTCCAAATTTATTGGTAATAGAACTTGATTACTGATTTGTAACTTTTGCTGTTGCCAGGTAGATAATCCTGCAGATAAGAAGGCAGAACCAGAGCCATCGTTTGAATTGTTGACCAACCCTGCCAGAGTGGTACCTGCTCAAGAAAAATTCATCAAATTTCTTGAAGATAGCAGATATATGCCAGTGAAGTCAGCGCCCTCAGGATTTGTGCTTTTAAAAGATCTACGTCCCAATGAACCTGAAGTATTGTCTCTCACTGATACACCCTCATCTGCAGCAGCATCGAATGCTGGTGGATCAGTTACTGGACAACAGGGCTCAGCCTCAGCAATGACTGTTGATGAGGAGCCCCAGCCTCCACAGCCATTTGAATATACATCGTGATTCATTTTTATCCAAAAAGTTCAAATCTGTCGGAATGTTAATTTCTTGTAAGCTTATGTGGGGAAACCTGTGACGTTCGTGGGGGGACCAGAGCATTTATTGGATCTTTCTCCTGTGATTATCTAGAGTTTCTTCTACATAGGAGGTGAGTTATAGTGAGTTTATCACTTGTGCCTTTGCTTTCAACTTCTTGCTCGTATCCTCCAGGTATTTTCATATGTTCACAAGGTGGGGAAGGAATGGAATCGTTAAGAAACTTCTGTTGCATCTCTTTTGCTGTAATTTTATCATGAACAATTATGAAAATATAATGTGAACTCTTGCAATTGTATTGTTTAGAGCTGTATCAAGTTTCCAGGCGATGGGATTTTTTCTTTTCGTTTTTTGCTCTCCATAGTTTTGCTAACAATTTCTGTTCACGGAAACTGAACCAGGACTATCGTACAAGTTATTTTTGTTTTTCACTTGCTTAAAAACTTCTGGCCTGTGCATTGTTCTTACATTTGTCGGGACTTCAGATGAATGTGTTTTACTTAACCTTTGGGGCATGCTTGTGTTTTGTTTACTTCATTGGAACGGAAATCTGAGTCCAATTGTCTCAGTTTGCTAGACGACAGAGTGACTCCCAACCTCCACTTGCTCGTCGTTGTCTATATTCTCTCCAATGTGAGACTTCATTTACCAATAATATCATCAGGAGAGGGACTAAGCCCTTTTTCGACAGACTATTATTGGATTGTCCTCGATCCCAATCGTTAGCACTGACAAAAGGGAAAGTTAGCAAGGCTAAGTGCATGTTTGGGAATGCTTAAATTAAAATTGAAGTGATTATAAACAGTGAGTTTTATAGAATGTATCAAATAATGAGTGGATAGTAGGTGTAAGTCTAACGAAATATGTGTATAAAATAACAACTAAAATTATAGTTTAAGCTTTGTCAAACATGCAGCAACCCTTCTTGTTTGCATACGGACACTGCGAAATTCATGGATATATTTAAACATCGTCTTCGACAAAATCTCCTCTTACTCAAAATCGATTCACTAAAGCACGCTTGCTGCCTGTGGGTACATTCTTTCAACTCCACACACAAATGTATTGAGCCAAAATGGCCCAATTAGTAAAATCACACGTCCCATGCAACGAAGGGAAAAATTTACAACTTGGGCTTTATCTATCTCAAAATAAAAAATCTGGTCCCAAGGTTTAGAATTGCAAAAATCAGGCTTTTCATAAATTAATTAATTATATTTCACAATTATTATATTAAATTAAATATTAAATTGTAATATAATATAATTAACCCATCCCACTGCCACCTCTGCTCCGGTGACCGGCGACCACTCCGGCGATTTTGTCGAAGTCACAGATCAAAAATTTTGTAGGTCACAGATTATTTCGAGTCACAGATAAAAATTTTTGTTGATCACGTATTATTTTTAGATCACAGATAAAAAAATTTTATTTCGAGGTCACAGATCCAAAAATTATAGGTCACATATTATTTTTTTAGTTACAAATTATCAATTTTAAGCTAGGTCACAGATACTAAAAAAATCACAATCGCTAGGTCACAGACACTAAAAAGAACCACCACCGCCGTTGACCCGCCACGTCAATAACAAAAAACGACAACTACCACACGGATCACCGTAACCAATCTGCGACATTTTCCAAAACCAGACCCCATCTTCGCGACGGCTGCCACCAGATCCACCACCAACGACAAACACTACAGTGGGTCACATACATCGACACCATCTCCACCCCATCGACACCACCTCCACCCCATTCACCGCCACTGGATAAGACTTTGTTTATCATTTGAAAATGGCTCCTACACCGTCTTCAAAGCCGAATTCAACAACACCGTCGTCAAAATCAAACAACCACCTCCAATCGAAAACCCCTCATTCAAAGCACCGCATGAATTTTACCAAAGAAACGACCACCACGGCCGCCATGCCCCCGACAGAGACCCAACTGCTTCACTGTAATTTCCTCGTCCACCCAACTATTCAGAGACATTTTCTTTATGCAACAAACCCACCTGCAACAACTCAGATCCGCAACAAAACCACCGACATTTTCAACAAACCCACCAGCAACAGCTCAGATCTGCAACAAACCCACCTAAATCTCACAGCAGCGTTCGGCGTCGAACGTTGCTGTGAATCGCACGTTGTGAGCAACGTCGTCGCTGTTGTGAATCACACAGCAACGTGTGATTTACAGCAGCGATTCACGCAGCGTCGANTTTAAAATGGGAAAGAAAAGACCTGGTTTTATGTAATTACCTCTGCAACGAATTGAGTAAAAATCATTTAAGAAAAATAAACACAAAAACTACAATTTTAGCACCTGTTTTGAGTTCAATTTTTGGCTAAAAATGCATTCTGAAATAGTAGATTGATGAACAATGTGTGGTATAAAAATAAAGAAAAATTTTAAATTTACATGTAATATTATTTTATTAAAAAACTTGATTAAAAATAAGAGAAAAAAGCATATTTTTTTGAAATAATGACAATCAAACAAGGGGTTGGGGTTGATAAACTAAAGAGTGGATCCGTCGTTTCATTGGATTGATTACCTTTGTCGTTTGGGTAGTGTGGCCGACAAGGAATGTCTTGTGAATCCCTCCATTGCAGGCCAAGTTTTGTACTTTTTCACATGAATGGCAAGTGACAACACTCTCATTTTGTGAAGGAAAAAAGAAAGGGACAAGAAAAAAGGGGATAGAATTCAATACAAAAAAACAAAAAACAAAAAAATATTTGTCCTCTGCTCTGATCACGTTCACATGCTTAGAGAACATTTTGGAAAGATGTTCATGGAAAACATTTAGGTACTATTGGAAACTTTTAGATGGACAAGATGATACAATGTATCATGCATGATGTGATTAAACTCCTGTTTGATGGTCATTTTCTATTGAAAATAACATTTTAAATAGTGATTTTTAAGATAATGTGCGGTTAAAAAGTAAGTCAAAGTTTTGAATTTACGTGCAGAATATTTTATTGTTTGAATATATGATTGAAAATAAGTATGTAGAAAAAAGAATTTTCGAATAATGATTGTCAAACAAGGGCGGCTAAAGAAGACAAATGTACGATAATTTTTTTTTCAATTGTCAATTAGCGTATTCAAGATGACATAAGCGTATCATATGACTGAATAACACTATTTTCCTATTTTTGCTTTAATAGGATTATGAAAATCTATGAGAAACAATTGAACATATCGTGTGCCAATTGCCATTTAGCTAATAAGTCATTGGATATTGAGATTGTTAGGTTTTAGATGCTTTGTAATTGACAATTCTGTAAACAAAATGACTGAATTGTACTATATTTAAAAAGTCAATGAGTAATGTGCAAATAGTTGAAAATAGGGTTATTAGGTTTAAGGTTCAAGAATCTAGACTGTCGCCAAGGTTTGACTTGAGCTACAAAAGCAGAAACATCGTCCTTGGACTGTCACCCCTCGCTCGAGCGACATGTTGTTGCTCGACCTTTGCTGAGCCCTCGTTCGAGCAATGTGGGTATCCGAAAAATTTTTATTTCACGATTTAAAAGCTTTTTACCTGACCCATTTGTTTTCTAACCTACCTATATATACCAAAACATATCTGTAGAAAAATTGCAGAGGTTGAACATTGACATAGCTTCATCTATAAGAGATTCATTCGATTTTATCTTTCAACCTTCGTCTACTTTGATTGTTTTGGTGAGAATACATTGTTCCTATAAAATAAATATCAAACAGCCTTTCCTCTACATCTGGTCAAAGTTTTGAAAATCGATGGAATTTGATTGGAGTTTTAGTCTGTAAAGAACAAAGTGTTTTTCGTTGATCCAAGGGAAATAGATGATTCCACAAGGCTACGAGTGCTGCGGGTAGCAGATTCCACTGAGAGCTTTAGGAACAGCAGCTAAAGATTGGTGCAGGGGAGCACGGGTTCTAGGGAGAGCTGTAAGGAGTGCAGTCCAGAGATCGAATAGTACGGGTCGTCTAGTCTGACAAACTGTAAGTTGTTTGAATTGTTTAAGTGAATTGCCTGGCAAAGTGCCCAGAGTTTTTTCCAGTTGGGTTTCTCCGTGATCATCCTGGTGTTGATTTATCGGGAGAGCATATAGTACAGGTCATCTAGTCTGATAGACTGTAAATTGTTAAAATCATTTATAGTGGATTAATTGGTAAAGTGCCCGGAGTTTTTCCCAGTTGGGTTTCTCCGTGATCATCCTGGTGTTGATTTACTGCTTTTGTTATTGTTTATTGATTGATCATATAAACTGCGGTATTCCAATTTCGGATTAAAATGACTTGCATGATTAATCATCTAGAAAAGAATTAAAAGTGACTTGTTACTATTTAATTCATAAAATATTTTTAATTCCCCATAATATACCTATTCACCCCCTCTAGGTATTGTTAGGGTCGAATTGTGTTATTTTCAATTGGTATCAGAGCCTTAATTCGATTCCTGACCCTTTATAACAATTAGATGAGTCAGTCATTGTCCATGCCTCCGTTTTTCGACGGAAGCAACTATGCCTACTGGAAAGTTCGAATGAGAGAATTTCTTAAATTTTTGGATGAACATATTTGGATTATCGTTCAAAATGGGTAGACTCCACCTTCAACAACTGTTGCTGGTGTAGTCACATCCACTGACATATCTTTATGGACTAAAATTAACCTAGATGAATGCAACTGGAACAGTAAAGTATTACATGCTTTGTTCATGGCTGTATCAGATGAAGAGTTTAGGTGAGTGTCGATGAGTGAAACTGCTAAAGAAGTTTGGGATATACTAGAAATCACACACGAGGGAACTAAGACTATTAAGAATTCTAAACTGCAGATATTAACCACTAGGTTTGAAGAGATTATGATGAAGGACGATGAATCGTTCGATGAATTCAATGCGAAGCTGAATGACATAGTGAAATCGAGCTTTAACTTAGGTGAAAGAATTCCCTAGTCCAAAATCG